TTTAAACTTTTCTATTGTTGTTTTGCTTACAAAATTTAATCCCGTCGTCGTCTGCTGAAAACCATGGCCATTTTCTTGAATCTGTGTTGTTAAAACAGCTCTAATCTGATTGGTTCTTGTTGGTTTCTTTTGTGTTTTCGGCCAATCAGAAAGCATTTGTAATTTACACTCGTGTTACAAGTTTGCACTCGTGTTACACATTTTGCACTCGTGTTACAGAAGAGCTGCACTCCTTTCTCAGCCAATCAGAATTGAGTAATTTTTTCGTGTATATTATTAGATTTCAAACTGACCTTAGACGCAAAAATTCAGCCATTTTTTTTAAAATACAGGCGGTGAAGACCTTTTCTAACCATGGACACCTGTTGGTCACGCTCCACGTCCAATTTTTATGCTCTGATTGGTTAAATATGACAGGTGAGTTCATGCATAAAATTTATGCAGCATCTTGAAAGTTGTTTACTTTGACAGCTGAAGCTGACAGAGTTTTGAGTCAACTTGTGATGTTTTTAACTGTCTTTTTCCACTGGATGTAAAAAATGAAATACAGCTGCTATCAAGAGTATTCTCTTATTCATGGCTGGTTTGTTTATTTGGTTTTTGGTTGAGAAATGCGTCGCTTTTCAAAGCCGATAATCCGAGTTCAGATGGCATCGTTTTTGTTTTTCACCTTGCTGGATGTGTACGAGAATTATGAAGGCTCAAGCGATCCTTGCCTTACTTGATAGCTGTCAGGAGCTGCATCTCGAAATATGGTAAGCCTGAGTAATTATTGTATTTATATCTAATTTCATGAAGTCCAGCGGCGCAGTTTATGAAGCTAGTTTATGCACGTTTCGGTTTGTATTAAGATTTGACTGAGACACTGATCTGACCTAGTATGAGGTTTGATATAAGCTTACGCTTACAGAACTTTAAAAAACCTTTAGTCGATATTAATTCACCGTAAATAGAAAGAAAAAACTTTCTGAAGAATATTTAGTTATAATTTTGGCTGTAGAAAGAAAGCTTTGAGCGATTTTCTTGTCGTGAGTGCATCTTTGAAAAAAGCAAACACCGGGAAACCGGCGGCTTAAAACATAAACTTAATCTTTAAGCTTAGTAGTAAAGACTTGAGGATTGTTAGAGACACTTAAATACTCATTTGTTTTCGTGAATGAAAATTGTTGTCTCTGTAAATGTTCTACCGAATTATAATTCTTTATTGATTGTTGGTACTCTCAAAAGTGTAATTTTCATCGCTTTGCCGTTTGTTTTCAGGCGTTCATAAACATCGCTTGCAGGAGTACTCAAAATGCCGAGCGTAACAAACGCTTTTTAAGATTACACATCGTTATAAAACCATTAATAAAAAATAGACTCAACAAATTCTTTATCACGTTGAAGCGTAACTCTTTTAAAATTTCTTCGCAAATTTGGCGCTTGTCAAAAGTTTGAACTGGCTGGCCGTATAGGTGATTTTGGACATTTTTGAACGGTTTTGCTAATTAAAAGTCCACGCGTGCTTCGATGGTCCTGAGTATTGAAAAATTGTGAAATACTGCATTTTGTACCGAGGTCTGTATGATAAAAACAGCGCCTCATAGTATTCTTTCTCCTCAGATGTGGTGTATAAAAAAAAAATAAAAGAATGGTTTGCACGCACCCAGATTTATTTGCAAGAATTTGTAAACTTGTCGAACGCAAAACATTCGGCCTGATTTGTTTTCCAAGAATTTGTTTTCCACGCCTTATCTACTGTGATCAAGAGCCATTATTGCTCTTAAATGTGACCGAAGACTATTTTTTGGGTGTACATATAAGGCTATATCAACTCGATACAAGATTTGTTTCGCTCCAAAATCACTTAGCTTTTCCCTCAAAAGTCACATGAATGTGCCCTTAAGTTAACTGATTTGTGGAATACAAAATTATTGTTTGATTTAAGTTATAAATTTATCAATGGGAGCTTCGCTTTTAGCTGTGGCTAAATCTATATATTATTTGAGTGATCTGCGAAGCTACAAGTGTCCGATCGAGCGTGGGCCTTAAAATATCAGCTCGCGTGCGACAAAGTTCAGTGACTTCAAACACATTGTGGGCAAACTTCAATTTCTTTGGGTAGATTATTATACAAAGATATTTGTTTTTGTGTCCCCGGTGGAGCTCCGGACCTTATATATCCAGGAACTTCATTACATGAACACATTTTGTGAATGCATCTCGTAAAAAATCGAAGTTACGTACGCACATTTCCCTTACAACTCAACGAAATTAGTAAACGTCGTTAAAATCAGTTTTAGTATAATGTATTCTTCGAGAAAATTAAATAATAAGAAGGTTATAAACACAGCTTGCAACTTTTGAAGACAAATTGCCTGTTCTTTCCAGGTTTATGGCTGCACAAACCACTTCTGCGCCAAGTCGACTCGAAAAACTCTGTTTTGAATTTCCCGGTTTTTTCACCTGACCAACATTGACGTCACAAGCTGTTTTTTCCGATAATTTTTCCGACCGCTCTACGAAGATAAGGGCCAAAAAATAGCAATTATTAATTGCGAATAACTCGGAGATACTTGCTTCAATAGACCCGAAACTTCATAGTATGTTTATTTGGTTCATATTAAACACATTTCACTAGAATTGAACGAAAATAAAAAAGGTCGAAATTTTGGTTCATTTGACCTTTAAATGGCTGAACACAGTACAAAGCGACCTTTGATTTTTAAAAAACCAACATAACGTACCTCGTTCGTTTGTGCTATCTGCGTTGTCATCAGCACGTGATTCCTGACTGCCTTGCTGCTCAAGATCTCTATGACTGATTCTTTTCCAACCACGTAAACTTCTCCATCCACACCAGTTTTTTGTTATGTCACAAGGAGGTTCGTCTAAATTGTGTTAAAGAATGTGTTGAGAACGTTTGAGTTAATCAGAATTAAAAAAACGGAGTTTTCCTATCCATAACAGAAAGCTGTTCAACAAGGCACGTGGATCTAGATTGTCTTGATGCTATTCTATAGACAACTTCAAATTTCGTGTAGCCTGTGTTGCAGGCGGGATTATTTTTGTGCGTGTGAGAGTTTTAGAGGCTTTGCCGCGAGAAACATCTCCCCGTTCTGCGAACGGCTTCGCAGTTCCTCTGCTAAAACCTTCCTCGCGTGAACGACTCAGCCGGCTACGCAGGCTAAATTTCGTTCATAGTTGCTATGCAAGGAATGTAAAGAGGGACCATATAAAAAAAAAAGCTATTGAAGAGTTAATTCCAGAATCTCATAGAACACGAACCTTGTTTGGGCAGTTCATATTGGACGCAATTAGTATTAATTTCTATATTATTTCATGTCTAACATAATTGATTGCGTTCTGGTATGCATTACGATTAGGGGACACTTCGTGATGTCTGTTATAGGAGCATGAATCCTTTTAGCGAAATTTCTGGACCAAACTTTTGTTGATCTAAGGTTAGGTGCCACTGCTTGAATGACTTTATCAGAAAATAGGCTACATTTTATTTGCAATCTTACCAAGGCAAACAAAATCACCCCTGAAGTCATCAAAATTTAAATGTCCTCCTTCGTCGAAGTCTAAAAGGACTATTCGTCCAACCCTTCCTATGAAATCTTTCAAGACACGAGATGTGACTCGGACCATTTGTTCTTTGCAATTGATCTTGTCGTTAAATTGACGGGGAATGCCATCGAGCATTAAATAGACTACTGTCTTTGAACCGCAGCCTCCACCGAGCAAAAAGTTGACGTCTGGGCCTGTAATGCGTATGAGTGATGACATAAGACCTCCGGTTGGCGTGTTTCCCTGCACTTCTCCAGCTGGAATGTCAGCTTTTGATCGGTTTTCATACGTGCCAATCCACCAACTGCCCTGATGTCCCGATGAAGGTTTGTTATACCCAGACGTTCGAGCGCGGATGTTATCTCCAAAGGTAGGCTGGTGGCTGAAGGCAGCTCCATGTGCTATCCATCCCTCCAATGTCCCCTTTTCAAAGTCAAAGTTTCCACAAGAATGGTCTACAAATCCAGAGAAACATTGTCTTAGCCAATTTGTTACTCTCTATCCTGCTACGTCTCTTATGTTGCGCTTCAAATTTTGGGGTTAAATGTGCAATCGTTAAGTGAATGAAATTCACTCAGAATTCATGTTTTCTTCAGTGAAATAATTAAGAAAAATTATTCCAAACATCAGTTTCCAATTTTTTACCAAGGGCATGTCCGACTGACTGAATTCCGGTACAAGAGATTTGTAACAAAGCGCTTGCGTATTCTTGTTCCAGAATACGATCAATCGGACGCACCCAAAAATTGTTCCAATCTGAATAGGACTTGACTTTGACGCTGACCGTACAACGGCGAAAAAAGACAACAGTAATCTAGTAAAGAACGAAATTAGCTGAAATGTCACTTTTGTTCAGTTTTTACCATTCTCCGGTTTCCAAGGGATGCGTTCACAAGGCTCCTTGGAAAAAGACACGCCATCGATAGCGATGACCAGGTCGAGGGATAAAAGGCTGTCCTTGCCGGCAACAAAATCAATCTGTAAGTCGTAGAAAAAAAACACCAAATTTTATCTTGGAAGAAATGCAGTTGTAATATCTACTTTTGATTGATAGCCACTGGGCTCTAAGAAATGTACCAACGTACTAGCCAATCAAAACCACTTCACTCAGCTGTCATGCTGGCATGCTCGTTCAATCTAAGAATAGGAATGGTCGATCGGGCTCCTTTTTAAATAAAATCTCATAAGGATTTAACGTAATAAAAATGTAAACTACGGAAAAGGCCTGATATTTTTCTTCTTGAATG